TTTGCCTGTATATGTTTACACAATAATGATTTGAGAAATGCGAGTGAGGTTGAATTTAACCAGATTATGATTACACAATCATGTGCAAGCAGCTTGCAGACAAAGAATCTAGTATTATATATGTACAGTAAAAAAGATCCTTAACCCTGATGCTGACGAAATTCAAGTATCTTGGATTCTTGAAGGGTCTCACTCATTGTGTATTGTATTACACCCTCAGTTCAGTTCTTACTTCCAGACCAACTGGTATGTTTTAATGTTATTTTTTTTTTCTCACATAACACAAAATCATGTCTAGATATTAGATCTCATGGAAGGACGACTGTTCTACACTCTCCATGGCCATCAGGTCAGTGTTAGCTAGAGTTCTTGTTACTTTTGAATGTTGCGGCCTTTTTCTTGTTGCTTTTTTCTCTTTTCTTTTCTCTTGGATGGTCTCTATTTTCAGGTAGCTAAAATGTGCACTGCGCATGTCTACAGGGCTAATCCAACTTATTATCTACTCTATTATTAACCTCAGGGTCCTGCAACATGTGTCACTTTCTCGCAAAATGGTGAATATTTTGCCTCGGGAAGCTCAGATGAACAGGTAAATACATAATCTTTAGTTACTTTCTTGTCAACAAATTGAACATTTTTGTCTCAAATCTGGTGAAACTTATTCTTACTCTATTCTTATTCTATTTTTTCGGATCATTTTTTTTGTTGAAGGTTATGGTGTGGAAAACAAACTTTGACAAAGTGGACTACGAGGAAGGTAAATTTTGAGAGAAATCATTATTTACATCATTGTACATGTATGTTGATTAAGCCATTGACTCCCGAGATTTTCCAAACAGTGGCCAATAGGTTGTAGCCAAATAGTCCAGAGCTTCATTCGAAGATAGAGAAAAAACATTCTCTTCCACTTTGTGTTTTTTTTTGTAATGAGCATAATGAAAAGAAAACAAACTCTTTTCGTTTCTTTTTCGCTCTCCATCTTTTCTGGTTTCGTTGGCCTTTCAGTTTCTGTTCTCGTTGGAGAAGTTCGCATGGAAATGTCGGGGAAACTAAAATAGACGTTTTTTACTTTTAAGTTGCCATTTACACTTTTAAGTGTCAATGGTAGCGAAGGGCAAGTTTTTTTGTATTATTTTTAGAAGAAAACTGGTTTATCCAGTGTTCCTTTCGACCAAATCATCCCGTTATTCCGTCATACTTGCTCGGGAACGCTTTACAAGCCTTTTCTCACTATGCGTCGTGGTTTGTGCATCTGAAAAAGCTTAGCCTAAATTTTTCAAGTTCGTCGTTTCTAATCCATCTTTATTTCCATCCTAAACCATCCTTGCTCCTTTATGGTTTATTTTTATCTCTTTACTGTTTTTCTATTTTAGTAAACTACTATTTTCAGGTTTTCTTCAAATTAAAATTGGTGGGTTAAATTATTGATGATTGATTAATCATCAATTCGGGGCCAGTCCAACTGTAAAATGAACATTTATTAAGAAATAAAAATGATTGAAAAATGATTGATTGATTGATTGAATTACGTGAGGTACTAGGAGAATATCGGTCCAAGGTCCTGACAGGATGGTCCCAGCGCATCGAGGTCCACTGAGAAAACCATTGAGGCCCGATGTTCTCTTAGTATGGTCCTGAACTAGCTTGGTTAATAAATTATTTACCACAGGTACACGGCTGAAAAAATTTAGAAAAAAATCTCAGGGTCACTGATTGGAAAGACAACGTAAACTTTAAGCGTGCAAGTTTGATAGAGAACCGACTTCATGTCAGACAAACGAAAGAAAAGAAGAAAAAAGAGAAAAAGAAAGTTGAAAGAAAAAAGGTCTTTTACTGGTATAAAGTTAATTTTTTCAGGTGTGGTCGCGCGGAATCATTCGGGACAAAGCCCGGTCTAATACTTAGAAAATACTGGACCAGCGAAAGAGCAACCTGATTTGTTGATTATAGTTATTGGCCCTCTGAACTAACTCATTCGTGTAATAATGTAGCACCTTACCAAACAATGTTTCGTAAGTGCTCAGCAAATATTGAACATGGAGCCATTGCTGTGGAGTCCAACACGCTCGTTATAAGCTCAACGAAACTTGTTGAAAATACTTCACATGTAACTCCTTTAAAATGCAGTCATTTTTGTGTTTTCTCTTCACCAGTACTGCGTTCCCACAGAAAACGAGCAGCATCCCCATCAGTTCCGCCACCTCACAGCCATGATCCCCCACCAAGAACACCACCCAAATCAACTGCACCAGAGGTGAGCCTAGGTCCGGTACAAAGTATGATACAATATACACTTTAGTAATTACTGGTCCGGAGGTAAAGAGTTAGTTTTCCNCGCGTGAAAAACGCACGTGACCAAGTAGTGATTAGGTTTTGCTTTGCACCTGATTGGTTGAATAGGTGGCGTGGCTTTTTTAGCCAATCACTAAGCGAAGTAAAGTAACAAGATTGTTGTAGAGAGTTTTGACGCCATCGAGAACGGGAGAACCGTGAAAAGTTTTAAAAGAAAGCAGTTAATTTCCTTGGCGGAAAATTCTTACGTACATCATGATACTAAGAAATTAGCTTTTTAACATCCTTCCTTTGTTTATTTAAAAGCACATCTACTACATTTTAACATATTGTTATAATTGTTGTAAAGCGCTATTGATCTTTTTATTGCAAATAGCACCCTATAAGAAATAAATTATTTAATTATTATTGTTAAGTGAATCACGAATTAAACATGTTCTGTTACGAAAGGTGTTCGCACCTGGCTTACGATCCAAGCGAGACGAAGCATACCAAACACTGCGGCCAGCAGCTAAGGGGAAACTTGTGTTCAAAAGGCTTTAAAACGAGGCTAAACCACAGAATAAATGCAACAGAAAGGTCAATACGTGTCCCTTATAATCAAGTGTGCTCTAAACCTGTTACGGTGATAGTGTGAACGCAAGGAGCATTCAAGAAATAGGTTCATGTATTTCCGCTCCGTAACTCTCTCCTTCTCTCTCATTTCCTTTCTTGCCTTTGAACAGTATTTTAGAAACAGAACATAGCAAGCTAAGTGGCTAAGGCTTTTTCATTTCTTAGTTAAATTTCTAGTGCAGGATTAAGATATCTCTTACAACCTGAATCAACAATAGCCACAGTACCAAAAAAAAAAAGTTTGCTGCTCACATCTGCCAAACTATTATACTTGAAACATTTTTCCTTGCTCCTCAGAGACAAAGCAGGCTAGATGAAGTAACTGGACGCAGAGGAGAGTCTGATGGTCTTGGGGGCGTTCCATCCAGTCAGCCTCCTCTAACTACACCACTGGAAAGAAGAGACATACCACCACAGTTGAGCATGACACTGGAACACATTGTAGGACAGCTAGATGTATTAACACAGGTCTGAGAACTGTTTTGTGGCATTTGAGACATTTTCACAACGGCCCTGGGTTCGTAATCCATCTCAGTGGAGGCAGCGTGGCTTCGTGGTTAAGGGCGCTGGGTTTGTGATCCGGAGGTCCCAAGTTGTGTGCTATGTTCTTTAATTATTCCGTATAATAAATCCTTTATTGACCAAGCTTATGCAGTCAAGATGGCTCGATAATGGCCTCGTTCTTTTGTGGCGTATTTATTGACCTTGACTCCGCCTCGGTCATAAACAGTAAAATACACAAGAGAAGAAGTTGAACTTAGCCAATATCTAGCCATCTTGACCTCGCGCTTGGTCCATAACCCACATATATTTGGTCACGTGTGCATTGAACTTATTTTCCTAATTGCAGACAGTATCAATTTTGGAGCAAAGGCTGACGATGACTGAGAATAAACTACGAGAATGCTTGGACAACCAACAGAAAATAACTCTGCAGATTAGACCTAATGAGTAGCGTAATTTTAATATCTGTCTCTTAAGTCCTAAATATTAAGACTTTCTGTTGAATTTGCGCAAAAAAAAGCAGTTTTTCTTTTGGAAGTACTGCATTTTTGGTCATAGATCTGTCATCGGTTCAAAACATCGTACAACGTTCGTTAACCAATCAGGGAAAAGATGCCTTTTTTTTCAACCAATCAAGGGCAAAAACTAAAACCAATCGTGACTTGGCCTGTTCCTGTTTTCCCACCCTTGGCAAAAGTTACATGTTTTCCCGCCCTTGGCACCGGTCACATGCTTTTCCCGCGCTGGGCACTGGTGACATGTTTTTCTTACGATTTCTGATTGGTTTACTGCGTTGTTTCCGTTTGCTGTGATTGGCCAGGTGCGATTACCTTTGGGTTTAGCTATAGTATAACCGTCCGAACTAAAACTGGTTCGAATTACAACCATTTGCCTGAATTCATCCCAGGCAACTTTTGTAGATATATTATTTAATGGAATACCGCAAGGTGTCGGTTGAGTTTTCTGTGAAAAGACGTAACAAATTTCCTCTAAATGTATGTGATAAACACCTTTTATAAACTATAAACTACGTAGTGTACGTTTTTTTGTAGCAACGTTGCTGTATGGGCCAATAGTTAGCCTTATTTTGTAAGTCATGTGTGCGTACTTTCTCTGCTTCTTGTCAATCTTCTTTACAAAGTCATTTAGTTTTAAGACACTCCGACTAACTGAATCGATGAACATAACTTCGAAATGTTCTGGTGAGATACAATAGAACCTTTGAAAAGACGTGATTTCTTGAACACCCTCCCTGTCGGTTGGATTTCCGAACATAAAATGGCCGAATTTATACTAGAGACGAATTATCCGTCGCTGGACATATATTAGAAGACAATTTATCCATCCGAGACGATTCCGTCTCAGACGAATAAATCGTCTGGGTAGAAATCCGTTAACAAATCCGATTAAGTTCTTTTTACGGTTATGTGGAAATCTTTGATAGTGAAAGAAACCAGAAGTGTAATTGTTTATGTCGGAAACAATCTCGTTCCCATGGGCCGCGATCGTTTTGGTGACCATAAAAAATCGGGACCTTCAGGTGAAGTACGAAAGCCAGCCAGCATTTGTCAACGGTTTGTCTCTCTGCGCATGTTCAGGAATCATTTTTGATCAGTTAACGAGGGCTCTGGCAACGAGATTGAATAGTTAATTAACCGAAACGCGCGGGCCTTGGGGACAAGATGGCGAAAACAACATTTTAACATGGATGTACTTACATCTTGAAGTTAGGCAATGTATGGATGTTATGTTAAGTTAATAAAAAAAAGGAAAAGAAATGCTCAGACGACTTTGCTACACTAGCAGCCTGAATAAAAACCAAAAACTAAAAAGAACTTTAGTTGGTTAGCCATAATCGTTTCTATATCAATGTAGCAGCTTGTGGTATAGAGTCATTGTCGATCCTGAGACACAGCCCATGACTCGTTTCCAGGCGTCCCTCCTTGGTTGGAGCGCAGTAACTGTGGTGTTGTGGGCACAGGGGGAGTGCTGGGGACCGGGGGGGGGCTCCCATATAGAAAGGATGGGGTGCTCATCGAAAATTTTGAGAAGGAACTCGAAGAGGTACGGGCTTGAAATTTTAAAACAACACATTATCTCCTGTCATATTTTTTTGACTCAATACCCTAAAAGGTACTGCAAAAGCTCCTGCTGTACCCCTTTTGAGGCTGAACACCCTAAGAGCTACGACGAGCACCCCCGTTCTTTTTATATAGTAGTGCCCCAGGAGCCGAGGTCGACGATTTGCCGTTGTTTTTATTTTTTTTTTTCCTGATTTATTTCTCCTTTAGCATTCATACAATTTTCGTAACTTTGGGGACCTCTCAGGGTAAAAAGTGTGTTCCCCTAATCCTTAAAAATCTTGCTTTAGTAGAGATATCCTTTATCCCTTGTTCTCTTGAGCTAGTCAAAAGTCACCCGTGCGCGCTGTATGATGGGAGCTGACTCCGAACTTGTCCGAACGTGCCCGAATAAATCCGAATAATCATCGTGGTTTGCAGCGTAAACAACAAATGACAGCAAGGACGGTTGCAAATGACATGACGGAGTTTTGAACTTCAGATTGATCAAACAAGTCCCCAAAAATGTTATGCCTTCAACAGATCGAAGGAAGAACTTACAATCCATATCTGCAGCCGGAAAAAGTCGTGCTGAAGTCAACGGTCACTCGCTTTGGGCGCAGCGAACAGTACTCAGATGTGGTGATCGACAGTTCTGTCTCTCCCCTGATGATCAGCCGTGTTCACGCTGAAATTCATTTCGACAAGGGAAAATTCAGAATAGATTGTGAAGGATTAAACGGATTGCTTGTGAACAAAATAAAGCGGAGTTCCGCCGTTCTTTGCGAGGGAGATGAACTTGTTTTCGGTGGTGCGGGTGTCAAAACGATGGAGGGACAGACTTTGTCTACATACGATTCAGAGCTTGTGTATGTTTTTAAGGAGGTCTGTCAAAATGATTCTCAAGA